ATTTTTTCAAATATTTTATTTTTATTTATTTTTTATTAAATATTTTTTACTTTACTTTTAGGGGCTTCGGGGAACTATTGGGGGTCTAAACAGACCCCTGATATTTTCCTTTTTAAAATAGAAAAAGAGATTGAGAACACAAAGGGCCTGTTCACATGATATCAGGTGCGGATCTGCAGACTGATGCAGTGTGTTTTTGGCCGCGTTTTTGATGCGTTCCAGTAAAGAAAAACAAAATTGTTTGGTTTTTTTTGCTCGAGTGGGGCTGTTAGTATGTTAGCTGCAGTGCAGTGCGTTTTGAATGCGTTTTTGACGCGTTTGCGTTTCCTGACAGTTTCCGGACCGTTTCCTGACCGTACAAAATGTGACATGCAGTATTTTTTCTGTCGTAAGCTGAACGGACTGCGCACGTGAGAACTGGAGCCCATAAAACACATAGGGATACATTGGGATGCATTTTGAGTGCAGCAGTGTACGGAAACAGTCAGCACATAAAACGGACGTCGTGTGAACAGGCCCAAAGTCCTCAATCTCTTTTTCTATGTCCCCTGTTATCAATGAACAGGAATCCTCTGAGTGTTCCTGTTCATTGATAACATGAGAACATTGTTTGTTTACTATAACCACAATTATGAATGAATGGGGGCGATGTAGATCACTCCCATTCTTTCATAATTAAGGATATAGTAAACATGCCATATCCTCAATTATGTACAAACACTCAGCGATCACTGATCGCTGAGTGTGTGTACCTTGCTCTTCTCTCTGACACGCTGTCACAGAAGGCTGATCGAGCGGTGTGGGAATGGGAACATGTAACAAATATAAAATAGGCGTTATCCCAATTTAGCTGGGAAAATGGGAATACACTTTAAGTTTCTTAGTTTAAATATATTTTGCATATTTCAGGTTTTTCACATAAATTTTCATTTTTAATTCAGTTTCCAAAAATTACATTGCGAACAAACCCCGTTCTGCATAAAATATTGTACAGGAATTCAGTGTGGGACGTTTGTAAAATTTTAGTAGTTGGTGGTTTTTGTGCTCTATATGTTTATTGTTTTGAAAATGTTGCTCATATATTTAATTGTTTGTTTTTATATGATGAGCATTAAAATGTATCTAAACCCCGAAACACAAATGTACGCCATTGCAGCATATCAGGCGTTAGATGTGGTGGTTCTAGTGTTTTTGTTTTCAGCTTTTTTTTTTTCTCTCTCTCTTTATTTTCACCTTGTGATCCTGCCATTAACATACTTCCAGTCCTAGGGTGACAACACTGACTCGCTGTATTGTATTTATGGAGGAGCAGCATTGTCACCCCAGGACAGGAGTGAGTGTGGGGTATAGAAATGTTCCCAATTATCTTCTGATATATATAGTTTTTGTTTGTATTTTCTGCTATGATGACCTAAACATATGTAACATTGACCATATTTTGTTGTGTGTCTGCAGGTTGTGGTACGGGCAGGCCTGTTCCATGGCACTGAACTGCTGTGTAAACCCATCATGAGCTCTGAACTGCAAGGGAAAAATGACCATCTATGGAGCGAGAAGTTTGAGTTCGAGATCAATATATGTGACCTGCCACGGATGGCACGTCTCTGTTTGGCTATCTACAATGTGTTAGACAAGACCAAGAACAAGAAAGGGAACAAAGCATCCAATCCTAAGTACCAGACCATCAAGAAAGCCGGGAAAATGGTACTTCACTTGTGTTTGCACTGACTTGTTTGACTTTGATTATTTATTCTACTGTATGTGTGTTATGGTTTTATTAATAACCAAACTGGTTCTGTACTATCATTACACATTCATGATGAGGCTCGTTCATTGCTGAGCACAGTTCTGGCCAGGCTACATGAGCTGTAGACCTATACAATCACAGCTCTTATGGAACAAATGGAATAATTATTTAGATATCACAGAAAGGTCTTGAATATAAGTCGAGTATAAGTACTTTAAGTACTGGTATATTCATCATAGATCTAGACATGTGATTTCTTAGTTTCTGACCTTGGTAACCATCCCTGGTTCCCCAGTAAAGCTGCAGTCTGGTCTATTTCAGCCAGAGCAGGCTGAGATGTCCATGCCTTGGGGTACCAACAGAGCTACTCAGACAGCACTGGCCGTTGGGTCTTGGAAACTGGTCTCCCTCATTAGATGTGTAGACTACCCAATCATACATTTTTGTTAAAAGAATGTTACAGGAAAGCTATTTCTTTAGTCACCTAGTGCCTGCCGGTTTTACCTCTCATCTATGGTTAGCGTTATACAATCTCATGCCATGGCTACTGTAGCACTGTCAGAAGAAGACAACCCACTTTTTTGTGTTTGGATTCCTCACTGTGTATTTAATTAGCTGAGATTATATTTGTCACTGGAGTATAGAAGGAGAGAGCTAAAGCGTTAAATGAGCAAAGGATACACTGAAGGAATTAAGCTGGCTGTACACATCCTAGTAAAAGTAAACAGCGATCATTCAAACATAGATTGCAGTGTTTGGCCACCTTATGGTATGGCAACAAACAAATTCCATTCTTTGCAGTAAATGTGTGGATAAGGTCCCAGCGAGACTCTTCTCCAGGACATAGGTGTAGCTGGCCATACACTGGTAGATCTTCGCATGACTGTTCATATGAAAAATCCAATCAGAACATTCAGTAATGCAATATGTGACAAATGTCGTAAATGTCGATCATGTTGAAAATGATCATCAATTTGACCCCATTTCAGGCAAATGTCAAAAATACAGAAATGAACTGCATATATGGTAGCTTAACGAAAATAAAACATTTGTGAAAGACATTGCTCGTATTCATATGCCCAAACTCATCAGTCCCATCCAACAAAACGGGTGCTGGCCGACAGAGGCCCACCTCGGCCATCACTGGTAATCCAGCCTATATAAAGCCGCACTCAACAGCCAGGACCTTGATGTAAAATGTTTATTCCCAGGAATTTAAAATGTTAAAAACCTATCAAGATCCACAGACTGACATGTTTCACCGAAAAGGCTTAATCATAGAGAATATAGAATAGTCTTTGGATCTTATGCTTGTTATAATGTTTTAGATACTTAGGAATAAGCTTTTTACATCAAGGTCCTTGCTGATTAGCGCAGCTTTAAGTACATTGGATTAGATATGAGAATTGTTTTACCTGTCAAAGATTATATACTTCTATCCATTCGTTCCCCAAATTTCCTGAAAACAGTACATCCAGCCTGGCGCCCTGATGTTTCTTTACTGCAGTTAGTTATGCAACTCGGTCTTGCTCCTGCCCCCAGCCTGTGATTGAACAGTGAAGGAGAATATACTGATGAGCTAATCTGTCACTCTGTTCTTTCCTCCTATCGGAATGTTCCATATTAAAACATGAGCAATACAGCACAAATGTACATAATGCAACTCGCCAGTGATAGAGTAATGTTTAGCTCATGCAGCCAGCGAGGGAGAGACGCATGCAAGATAGCGATTGTTTCACCTTCATAGCAATTGTGCCGCTGGCGGGATGGCAAGTGGGACATCGGTCTAACCCTAGAAAAGCACAATGGCAGCTGGGCTGGCGGGTTTGTTTTGAACACTTACCCATGTGACCCTCTTAATAAAGGGCAATGTTAATTTACAGTGCTAGGGAAACTAAATGATCATTTTTGGTTGGACTGTCACCTACAGAAAAGTCTGCTAACCTAATAGTATGTTTTTGGATTTTACCTTTAATACCTCAGTAAGGCTACCTGGATATGTTTATCCCTGTTCACTTATGTTCTGCTCCTCACAGCAGCACTCCCCTGTGGCTTGGGTGAACACCATGGTGTTTGATTACAAAGGACAGCTAAAGATGGGTGAACATGTCCTGCACAGCTGGTCTTCATTTCCTGGTAAGAAGAAGCTTGCAGAAGATAACATTTATAGCCTTGTTTGCATAAATCATTAACTTTTATTTCTCATTACTCTTCCAGATGATCTTGAAGAATTGCTGAATCCAATGGGAACTGTCCGGACCAATCCTTTCACTGAGAATGCTACTGCTCTGCACATAAAATTCAAAGAGTACGCTAAAGTCAGTATTTATTACCCACTTTTTGATAAAGTAAGTATATTCAGTTCTGCTCTTTTTTTGTGTTGTGGTGTTCAGTGTCCTATGCAATGCAGCATTCACCTGGGTTTACTCAGTGCAACTTTGGTTACAGGCAGTCCCCGAGTTACAAACATCCCACTTATATACGACCCCTACTTACGAACGGAGGCTATTACTGTACAGCAGGGGGTCCCAGGCTGCATCCAGTGTGTCAGTAGTTGTAATGCTACCGCACTCGTGCCGGCGAGGAGTGCCCGCCTTTTTGGTTCTGGTTTGTAGTACTGTACGTACATTACAGGAAGTTGGCTCTTGATAGACATACAAACGAGGGGTGCCCGCCTCTTCTTGCGGGTCACTGAGCAGTTTTTACTGGTGTCTGTATCCTCATTAGAAAGATTTAATCTCACTTCCTGTCCCTGAGACAATAGGAAGTGAGATGAAATCTACCCCTAGGAATGGACATTCACTCCTGTAAGAGTTATCATGGGAAAAAGGTGTCTCCCCTGAAGCTAAACCCAACATTTTCAAAATCCAATTGTCACAGGGGCAGAAAGTGAGGTGAAATCTTCTGAACAGGGGCACACACAGCACACACACTTTACACGGGGTTATCCCTTCCTTATGCTATCCAAAACAAAAACAAAAAACACATTTTTTGGCTGGAGTTACAATTCAAAAATGTACCTGTTTCAACTCGCATACAAATTCAACTTAAGAACAAAGCTACAGAACCTATCTTGTTCGTAACCCGGGGACTGCCTGTATTTTGCATGAAGACTGATAAGTGTTTACACATTTTCCTAATTTGAGATGCATTTTTTTTAAATTCCTATATCCTTGGATACAGTCTGCGTCCAAGGGCGTGCATCAGTACCTGTATGGATGTGACAGTTTAGGTGGATTGCAGCCACAATCTGTCATAAAGATGGACAGACGGCTGCACGTGGCTACACACAGCACCTGTCCCTCCTGGACGCAGGTCTCTGCACGAACATGCATGCTGTACAGCTGTGCACTTCTGTGTGAATGAGGCCTAAAGGTTAACTATACCATTTTGTGAGGAAAAAATGAAAAGCAAGCTCCAAGTAGAAGTGGTCTGCCCTGCTAGTAATAACTTGGATACTGACTTCCACTTAATGTGGTTGTTGCAACCAATGTGCAGCTAAAGTCGGTCAGGCATACACTTAAGATTGAGAGTTCACCTGCAGTGGCATCTGATGCACCAGTACTTTTTGGAAGGCATAACCTGAAGAGTTCTGCTAAGGTTTTTCCTTACCACTCATTTTGGTGTGTTACCCCTTTAGGGCTGCAACAACTAATCGACATAATCGATTATAATCGATTATTGAAAAAGTTGTCAACTTTTTCAATAATCGATTTTGAAAATAATCGTTAGCTGCAGCTCTATACCCCTTTGAGGAGGCATTTACTAAAATTAGGCATCTCTGCCTATGGTTTATTTTCCAGTTTCTCAGATAAACAAGGTCACAGTTATTAACCTACAGAGAGGAACGCAGAAGCCCTAGTTAGATCTATGTACAAAGCTAGGGATCCTTATTGTGGCTGGTTTTAGCATTGATTTTTGTCTCGCAAACCTTTATAGAGTGGGCAGACCTTTACACAAGGGTCTAGCGGTGGAACACATTTTACATGTTTATGTGAATTTGGTAAAGCATCTAGTAAAGAGCTTAAAGTATGTTTCCAATGCAGCGCTGGTTTTGGGATCCTTGTTCTCTAGGCTGTTGGCGTTGGCTCTGCTGATCTGTGGCTGTAGTGTTGGTTGGCTGACCAAATATCTAAATACCTTCTGGCCCAAGAAGGCCAAGGATTGCCACATCAAATCTGGGCCCTGTTTTCAGCTCATAAGTTTTGTTTTTTTTCTTTTTGTGGGGAAATTTGGGCAAGGGCACTAAGCACTCTAAGTCATCTACCTGTGCTGGGGATAAGCATCCCTTGCAGTCCAATCCTGCGGAGAAGCCCTGCTCCTTCGCATAAAGTTTTACCCCCCACCTGTACAGCTCTAGGTGGTGGGACAACTTTTGGCATCTGTGAACTATTGGTTAATCAATGTGGTAAAGTGTTAGTTTCAGGCTACAAAATTGAATTTTACACACATCGAATTTATGTCTTGCTGTTGAGGGCCTCCTGGCCCAGGGGTGGGCATTCCAGCTCTGGAGGAAGAAAGGTTTAAATGTTGAATACATACTTCCATGTTCCCATTTACCAGGGGCACAGCACTTCTTGCACTTCATGGTATGGAAGAAACACCATCCATTTGCAGCCTTGCCGTTTGGCCTAGACATGGTTCCTCGGGTGTTCATCAGGATGTTGGTGCCAGTGTTGCCTTGAGGTCAAAAGGAATACCAATCAAGGGATACATGGACAAGCTTCCATAACCTGGAGTCCAACCTGTCCAACACCATTCGGAGGAGTTTAGGTGGATTTTAAATCTTGAAGTTGTTTCTGGTTCTGTCACTTCACTTGGAATACCTGGGGCTGAACCTGGATAGCAAACAGGCCAAGGTGTTCTTTCAACTGGCATGCCTTCTGCATGCTGACAAGTGGTTGTCATTCAGCACTGCATGTGAGTTTTGGATCGCATGGTAGCGGCCTTCAAAGTGATTTCCTATGAAAAACACCACCGCAGAACTTTGCAGCATTGAAACAAGTCTCCTCTGTCTCTAGACAAGGGAGATCAAGGTACGTCAACTGATGAAGTCATCTTTAGTTTGGTGGTTCCGCTGTCCCCTGCTGCTATCCAGCAATAAATTTCTTCCTCTTCGCTGGAAAATAGTAATGGTCAAGGGCCAGGCTATTAGAGCCAGGAGAAGTCCCTGCTTGCCATCAATGTACTTGAATTTGGAGTGATCAGATGGGTTCTGCTTCGCTGGATGCACCTGCTGCAAGGACACCCTGTATGGATACACTGGATAGAAGTCAAGGGGATTCCAGCCTTCCTGGTGGCTCTGTATTGGCCCCAAAAGCTACAGTACGCAGATCTTATAGTAGTGGATGCTCCTTGGCATTTACTGTTTCAAAAAGATGCTAGGGCTTGTTTACCACCCTGCTTTATGGTTGCTGGCTTTAACACCTTGTCTATTAAAAGTACTGAGGGATAGAGGGTTATTGGATGCTGTCATCCACACCATGTTTAAGGCTCACAAGGCCACACCTTGTTAAATTTATTAATAATATTTGGAAGGCGTATTTTGCATGGTGTTTGTTTCTAGGGTTATATTCTCATTCCTACTCCTTTCCATGTCTTTTGGCTTTTTTCAGCACAGGGTGGAGCAGCAGTTGGCCTGAAGCACAATTAAGGGTCAGTTGTCAGCATTGGCAGTCTTAGTTTAGCATCCTCTGATGTTGCTGGCGCCCATTGTCACCTTGGGACCTTGACCTTGTATTTTTGGTGTTGCAGTACTGCCTTTTAAGGATTTCAGGGAGATCCCACTACTAATATTCCCTCCAAAGTGTTTCTCCTAGTAGCCATTACTTCTGGAGTTCTGGCTTTGTCCTGCAAGCCTCCATTTTTTTTTTTTTTTGGTCATTCAAAAAATTCTGCACATGACCAATCAAGCTCCTCTCTATTCCCATTTGACTGTGATGGGGCCTGGCACTTGGCCACTCAGTGTTTAGGGCTGCATTATAGGGAGGCAGGGTGAGTGTCACTTCTCTTCCATACCTAAAAGTGTGTGTGCAGGGAAGGTTGGTAAGGACCCATAATGCCTCCTAAAAAGCAAAACTTTTTTGTTGCCTAGGTTTGGAAAAGCATGGGTTTATTTTAAGAATAATCTAGACTTTGGGATTAAAGGAGAGCTGTGGGGGGTAACCTTTTTTCCCATAGTTCTCTTTAGGGTCACGGGAGGACATATACTGACTATTGCCCACTATATGCTGAGAGCCTGGGTGGATCCTGACAATACTGTTCAATCCTCCAGTCAGCGCTGGAAGATCGGAGGGGGGATCCTGAACGATCAGCGGTGTGTTCACTAACTTCCCGATCAATAGAGCCGACGTGCGACAGTTTCAATGTTGCATGTCTGCTCTAAGTATAGGGATGAGTGTAATTCACTAATCTCATAGTTCTTCTTTAATACAATTACTTAAACGCCACTAAACAATGTTTTTATCTAAAATGGCAATAACACAGTCATCAGAATTATAGAACTAAGAACGACAACAATTCCCTACGTGGTTTCCTGTTTTCTATGGGAAAAATTGAGATTCATCTCTTGTGTATGACTGTACCCCCCAACCCCCTGAGCAGTACTAAGTCAGTGGAGTTAAAACAGCTTTTATGGTATAAGGGGAACTTGGTGGATTTTTGACATGATATATTCTGTTTTTGTCTTACTGAGGCAGATTGTTTTATTCTTCTAGTACCACACATTGATGAAACGTCATTAAATTTTTTTTTTTTAGTTGTTTGAGGAAAATCTGGCATGATAAAGGAAAACAACACCTACACATATGTTATATGAGCTGTGCATATTTTTGTTTGTGTAATAACAAAAATAAACCAGTATGGCTTTATTAGGCCTCATTCACACTGCCGCGCATATACGCACCATATGCGACATATGCAAATAAATGGCTCCATACACATAGCCGCGTATGGAGCCGTATATTTGCGTAGCGTATATATGCGCAAAAACAGAATGGAACAGAGATGCGTCCGGGCAGCGTATTTCCGCGCATATACGCGGTGTACAGTACATTAAAAATTCCATTACGAGTGATGCATTCTGGGATTGCATGTAGTGCACGCATATACGCTCGTATATACACGCATAGACGCTTGTATATAAGCGCATAGACGCAATATACAATTTTGCGTGAGTTTTGTGTGAATGAGGCCTAACAGATAGGATAGGAGAAAGCGTATGAATTGACACAAGAGTGTTTTTTGGTTTGTTTTTTTTAACTTTGGTTTCCTATGCAATGTTGCAATCCTAGCTGGTTCAGAGCTACTGCTATAAGAATGCTATTGTCTAGTAATACCGCAATCTAAAGACTCCACGCCACTTGAATGCACTGACTAAAAAAAAAAAAAGCCATTAGAAACCTGCATGGTTTTAGGCACTGGTTATTTTGTCACTGACAATACCTAAAAAATAACAGAATAGAAAGCTGTATTCTGTCATGTCTATGTTACACTGGCGTTTCTGCCACCGGTCAGGCCTCATGAATGACAGAATACGATGAAACTTATATTGCCTTATTATGAGGTGTTACCGCCGAAGCCAGTAATTTGTCCCTCCACCACCGCTTCCTCACTATTAATCGAGATTCTGCAGCTTTGCAATCTACAGCGACAATTAAACTTCATTGATTCTTGGCAGAGGTTGAATTGCCAGTGTAACATATAGGTTTAGACATGACGCTTTTACCTTGATGTACTGTATATCAGATTGAATCAGTTACGAGGTGACTCTTGAAGCAAAACTTTACCCTTTATCTTAATAATGACTACAAAGGCATCTTTAGAAATGTTTAGGATCTACAAAGACTTCTACATAATTGCTGGCTTTTTATTCTTTGCATACCTTATTTATTTTTCTCCCTATTTTTCTCCTGGTGGCCATTTTATTAAGGGCAGATTAATCCATCTCCCTTTATTTCCTGAAACTCTGGCAAATGTGATTAGGACATGTGCACATCATCTCGGGGGGGGAAATGCCTTTCCCTGAGATCTCGTGAGATTTTGCAGTTTACAGATGAGATTTATCAGCAACGTGCTGCTAATGTAGCATTTCCAGGATGCATCTCTTTGCCATGAGCTACATTATTAATGCCTAAGAGTGCCAGAAAGTGGAAAAACTGTAATTGTAAATAAAAGAAAAATATTTAACTAATGAATGAAAGAGGATTTTCATATCAGCATACAAAGCTGCATGCTGATTTGATGTTTAGTGAAAGGGGGTAAAGGTCCACTTTAAGGCAGGCCTTTCCATTCTGCATTGCATATATTACATTGTATCCATTACGGGAATATCTTCCCTTGGCCATCACACTAGACCAGTGGTTCTCAACCTGTGGGTCGGGACCCCCTCGGGGGTCGAATGACGATTTGCCAGGGGTCGCCTAGTGGCTCTCGGCCGCCGGGAGAGAAACACTTTCTCCCGGAAAAATCGGGGGCCGCCGTAAGTCAGAAAAAAAAACCTACCATAGGAATGCATAGCTAGATTCCTATTGGCTATTTCACTTTGCAAAAGCCAATAGCAAACTAGCTATTGCACCCGCCCTCTGATGCTGCCAATCAGCAGAGGGGGACCTGAAGTTCTCCATCAGTTCCCCTTCTAGGGATTGACAGCAGCAGAGGGCGAGTGCCATATGTATGTATTCAAGCAAAAAAATATGTAAAACACACCTCTAGCTATGCATTCAATGTTCCCGGTCCGCAGCTGCAGAGATTGGGAAATGTCTCGGTGCCTGTGATTGGCGCTGTCAGCTTCCTGGCGGGCTCGGCACGTGGAGCTGCGAACACGCCCGAGCCCATCCCTATCAGTGACAGTACTGCAGAGTATGTACCTCATACTTTAAATCCAATTCTTCTAGTTCCAGCTGCAGAGCCCGGTCCTGTCTTTGCCTATAGCAGTGGTTCTCAACCTGTGGGTCGCTGTGCAAGGCTCTCCTAGCGCAGCAGTGTCAGTTCTCCTGCCACGCCTCCAGATGTCGCTGCAGCAGCCGCGTCATCCCCAAATTTTACCGTTGGGGGTCACCACAACTTGGCAAATGTTACCAAGGGGTCCCGGCCCTAGAAAGGTTGAGAACCACTGCATTAGACAATGCAGTGTTCATGTCTTCCTTTACAAAAGAGTGAGATGAGTAATTAGAGAAAAGGTAATACTCCTCTACCTAAAATACAAAGATTTAAAACTGATGTTGCTCAATCTTGATGATCTGTTTCAGTATTTTCAGGAGGTAAAAATGTACTTCTGTGACCCATATAGATCTGAATGTGTCCAGGTAAAGAATGTGTCAAGGTAAATTGTATCTAATCAGAATCCTTCTTTTGGGCAGATACTTGAAAAAGCTGCAGAGATTGCACGACAAAGTGACACCCTGAGTATGGCGGTAAGTTCCAGGCCATTTCGTTTATTTTGTCCTTAATTGCACTAATTTCTAACTGACCGTATAACAAACATCCAAACTAGAAACCAGATGACTGCTTGATATTATGATGAAAAGATGCAAATTAGGTTTGATCTGTTAATAATTAGCCCAAGTATGGTGAGAAATTGACCCCAGCTACCAATCGTATAGCATTTTGGAAAGTTTCCTTAGATATCCTGCAGCTAGATCTTACAGATTTGGTTGTATGCATGGTCAAAACCTGGTATTGGTCTGGCTATTCACAGGGGCAGGATCTCAAAGGGGTTTTCTATTTATTTTCTATCTAAAGTTTTATTAAATCTCTTTTCACTTTATTTTTTATCTCCTAATTTAAATATTCCTACACCAAACAGAGAGTAGGAGAGGTAAATGCTATACTGGGTTTTCTCTCTGAGAAAGGTTTTAGTGTATTTTGGAAGTGTCATATGTTCCTCAATACTGCTTGCCTGTAACCTTGACAGCTGTAATAAATTGGGGTGTGGATGAGTTAGGTGTGACAGGCAGAATATCCTTCAGCACTTCTAAACACCAGTACAAAGGACATAATTTCTGCTATAATTTTAATTTACCACCATTATATATAAAAGGTAGGTGTGCAGGAAGTGGGACTTGGGGCTCTTTCACACTTGATGCATTGGAGCTGCGCTGCCAGCTTTGCAGAGGCCAGTCACAACACATAGACAGGGGAAAAAGGCTTGTTTTTTTAATGTAGTTAGTTCACACCACATCGTTACGGGTGCATGCAGTACTTTTTTTCAGAGCAGCTTGTTGCGACACAAACCATCACAATGCCGATGTGGTCAATAGAACTGCATGAATATTTTAATAGGTTCTAACGGAAATTGGTAAACAGTGCGATGCTCCAAGTTCAGTGCATCTGCACTGTTCCTTCCAGCGCCTGTGTATCCTGCACAGCTGTCTGGGCCGAACCCGCCCTTGAAGTGAAAGTAAACCCTAACAACAAACCTTTATTTGCTCCCTTTTGGTTTGTTATATATATTTGTTATATATATCATTGGAAATGTTTTGTTATATCTGTCTGAGAAACACAAAAAGTGCCTGTTAAACATGTCAGAAATACAGCACTGTGCCCAGTGTTTCCTCAGGAAGATTAATTACCTCTCCCAGTCCTTATCTTTGGACTACAGAATGATTATCCTTCATGTAGTAAAGATGGTAGAGTGGGAGGGTCTAAGTAGTTTGGCAAGCGAAAACTGGATAGGACTCAAAACACTCAGCCCACAAAGATGTTGGGTCTTGTCAGCCCACAACAGAACATTAGAAGCCGAGTGCATTTCTGGCAGATCATACAGAAATGTGCATTTGCAGCGATGTACTTTATATGTTAGATTTTGGCGGCCGAAAATGGTACTATGGGCCAAATGCCGATAGTACCAAAACGTCCAAAAATGCAATGCATCCCCAGCGTCTCTCCTTCATGCTGGGCGCCAGTCTGTGTCCCCTTCGATCCACTGCTCTCCCTCGCCTGTGTTGACATAGGCAGCAGGGATCAGAGGGAACCGAGTGAGTCCGCCTGCCGCCGCTCAGCTGGGAGGAGAGAAGCTGTCAGGAGGCTGCGCAGGGTGTTGCAGGGAGGAGAGAGCTGCCCCTTTCAGCCGGCATCCCTCTATCACCTGATTGAATGAGCCAATCAGAAAATCTTTGAAAGAACAGAGCGGGCAGCCAATAAGCTGCCAGCTTTATTTGGGTATTCTGACAGTGGGAGAGTCCTCAATCAAGCTTGTAAGCATTGATGGAGGAATCTGTTATATTTTCTTTGTTTTTTCGTCCTTTAAAATATTAGTGTATGGGCAGCTTCAGTAAGTTAAACCAACAGCGTCCTATGTTCTTCCATGTTTGCCCTTGAAGGGGTCGGTCAGCCCTACGTTCTCCTCTGCAGGATTGTGTTATAGTTGTTTGTCTTGCGGAGTCTCATGGTGGTTAATACATGCAATGTTTATATATACACTAGGAAAGTTAATATATAACAGGCCCTAGGGGCAGTTTCGTCCCACAAACTATGGACATTCAGGCTGAAGTTACTGGGTTTTTTTTTCTGTACCCAACTGAAATTCCTCTGCTACAATGGATGGATACCAGTTGCCTACAGTGTAAGGTACCAGTACACAGTTTCATTACCCAAGTTAGGTAGTTTAAAGGAAGCCTTTATTAAGAGAATATGCAGGCTGCCAATGCTGACCTCTCTTTTAGAAAATGTCATGCTGAGCATACATCATCAATACCGACATAGGCACTGACCTGGAACACCTATGCAGATTAGGCGTTCTGATGTTACTCTTTCTCATCCGCATGCTTGTTCTGGGGAGGCAAACCAGAAAATATTTATACCAGAGACAGCCAGGTAACTAGTATTTCTCGAGTTCAGCAGTGGCAGCCTCCATACTTTTCTTATTACAGGTTTCCTTTATAGAAATAGAATGGCCTTGGTGAAAAAAGCATCAGGTATTTGCAGAATATGTCATTGTATGCAGTTATTGTGCAGATGCTCATTGGTTCCTCATACAAACCAGACTTTTGTCTCCTGCACTATATTCCTGAGTCATGTAGATTTAGTATTTTACCAAATAGTGTCTGGTTTGTTTTGAGGTGCTTGAATGTTACATGGACATAGATTCTATGTCCATGTAACATTCAAGCAGCTCAAACTCTCATAGATAGTTTGAGAGGTTTCCTGCTAAACCTCCTCCTATGGATCTAGCTCCCAGCAAAGCACTGATGATATGCTGTACAAGTGCATTTGCTGATTTTGGCTTTTTACTAGTGTTACTCTGCCACCTCGTGGACGTTTTGATTCAGTAACCCGTGATTGAATGTGCTGGGAATAAAATTGTAGGTAAAGTTGACAGTAGCATTACTTGGTTGACTGGTGGGGATTGTTGGCTGGTTTTATCACCACGTATGGCTACTTGCATTAATAAGACAACAAGACCTTTTTAAAAAAAAAAAAAAAGGCGGAATCACTATTTCTAAATAGAGGATTAAGAGGTTTTTGAGGGGGAAAAAAAACCTTTAGTTTTAAATTAAGCAAAAAAACCTTTAAGGAGTCCCTGTCGCCAACTTAAAAATGCAGTTAAAAGCACAGAAAATGAAGTATTTGAAATGCTTACTTGCAGTGTTTTTCTTAAATATTTTTTTTATTCACTTGCAGCGTGCTTTTTGAACTTGCTAGAAACGTTCACTAGTCAGTTCCCTAGCACAGCCCCCTGCCTCCTTGCATGTCATAGCCCTCTACTCTTCTGAAAGTGTTTCGTTAATCTCTGTGCTGGTCCAGCTCCTTCACCCATCACCTCCGTTCATAACCTTTTATGTATCAGCCGAGGAGGAGCAAAGGTTAATACTATAGCGTCTACGGGGGCTGCTCCCAGCAGCAATCTTAGGGCTTTGTCTACACAAGGGAGATTTTAGAGGTAAAGATCATGCATAAAATAAGTTAATTGCTTGTATCATTTCATGGAAAGATTTATGCTGAAATGCATGGCCAGATGACAGGGTCTCTTTAAAAGATGCATTCATGTTGAAATAAAATCTTGTTAACCAATCCTCCCTAGTCCCCTAGTAGTTTCCTCCTCCATTGTTTGCATACCTTGGCCTGAAATCTGGCACTGGCCACCCTGCTCAGTGGCGTTCCATATACTTGAATAGGGCTGTACCCATAGAGTGTCTGTCTAGTGTTGGAGTAAGGCTCTCAGTAAGCTTAGGGGTAGTGTAGTCGCTGCACAAGGTTGGCCAGTGAAGGTTAACATTTTCAATCAGAGAATGTAAATCCTATAGGAGGCCACCACTGTTGGGCAAATCAACCTAAGCATTTGGAGGAGGGGATTCTAGATTAGGTTAGTTTACAATGATCTTGTTCTTTAAATGATTTGTCATGTGACTTGGGCTGAGCGTATTCATTTTGGTACCTTTGTCATTGCTCAGGGTCGCGGAGGAAAGAAATTTAACATTGAGCTGAAGGAGATCATGGAGAGGGATCCGCTCTGCCAGCTGTGTGAGAATGAGAAGGATCTGATCTGGACCTTGCGGTACGACTGTAGAGAAAACTTCCCTTGTTCACTCCCCAAACTACTGTTGTCTGTGAAGTGGAACAAGCTGGAAGATGTTGCCCAGGTGAGTAAAGACATATACTACTGGAAATGTAAAAGTCTTAATGGTACAGAACACAGGAAGTGACTTCACTTTAGTATATAAATTCATGATATTTTTGGACATATGTCTTCCGGCATAGTTTGTGCAGCCGATACCAGATTGTTCTTAGGAATATTGAATAGAAGGCATGTACCTGATCTAAGGATTATATTGAAATCTTTTAGTCAGCAACATATGTGAAATGGTGAACTACATGTACCCTTGAGCTCTGAATATGAAGGATTGCATTTGGTGCGGCATTTGCACCTGTTCATAATATGTTCCTGCAGGATTCATTCAGATGGGACACGTGTATATATAGTAATTAGCATCTGTGAGATGAACATGCATATTGATTGTGCAGGATTTGAACATATGTGGGACTAATTGGAGGCCTCCATTTGTATATCATTGACATAAGTTACAATCTATTTGAGTTGGTGGCTTGTTGAAGTATAAAACAGTATTTTGTACGAGCAGAGTATTGGATAGCATTGAATGTTTTTATAAGAACATTTATAAGCAGGGCTTGAAAGATTCTCTCGTCGGAGGACGTCGGAGCCCGACAATTAGCTTCCCGGCTGGCCGTTGTAATTAAGCGGCCGGCCGGAAACTTTTCATTCAAATGATCGGACGACCGATCTTAGCCCCCCCATGTGATAGCAATAAAGTTAAGTGTAAAAAAAAATTAAAGAAGCATAAAAAAACACTATTTTTTTTTTAAAGTCCCGCCCCCCCCATATACACACGCAAACATGCTTTGGGTGCGCCTACGTGCGAAAACGACGATTGTGCCACACATGTTGCATATCACCACGAACTTGCGAGCAAGAATTTTTAGAGCCATTAATCACTGATAACACTAAACTATTGAGCAACAATTTTGGTTGATTCGGCATGAATTGTCCATAATTCCAGCCATGTATGGATACCATAACACCTTAGAGATGCAGTTCTGGCTGTTCTCTGGTTCAAGCACTGCTCTTTCTCTGAACTTTCAACAGCCTCATCTATGAATACTGGAAATTCAGAAGAAAGATGTACAGTACAGAATCAAATGACAGGAGACTGCACTTGTGAAACATTTTTTTTTTAAACTTTCTTATTAAAGTATGAGACAGAGGCTGGACAGAATCATGTGCCAGAGGCTCATTTGAGGCAGCGGAGGCAGATGCATCTAGCTGGTTGCTCTTTAACCAGTTGCCGTCCGTTCGTTGTAAAAAAAAAGGACGGACGGCACTGCAGCATTGGCGGATTGCCCCCTAGCGGGCGCGCGCACGGGCAGAAAGGACCCGACCAATGCAAACAACCGTTACCGGGTGTTTCACATATAGACGATCGGCGGCTCTATAGCCTGCCGATCGTCTATATGTGCTCGTTTTTCTGGTTAAAGAGACTCTGTCATATAATATACATACCTGTAAAGAAGATTGCACATATTGACCTTTCCACCCGCAATTCTGCTGTGTTACAGAGAACTGGTACGCTGGGAAACAGACACTTCCGGGAGTTGCGATCTACTGAGTCCCCTGCAGCTCTTACTGGTTCCACCCTCTGATCTTGCATCACTGTAGAATACAGTAATTAAATAAGATAAAAGTTAGGAGAGCTGCAAAGGGCCCAGTAAGTGAGTTGTCCCCGAAGTGTTGGTCTCCCATTGCACTTTGGGGGACCAGTTTTCTACAATGGAGCAGCGTGAATGGCAGGAAAGTAAATATTTAGTCCATGTCCCACTGCACTCCAGAACGGAATCCCAATGTAATAATATGGGTGTTGGTATGACCTGTGGATGGTGCCGTGTGAATAAAAATATAATAAAGAAGTCCCACGTACTCCAAGGTCCAGTATGTAGAAGGCCTTTAATACAGGTGCTAAACAATCATGGTGATACTAGTGAACAACGTTTCGGAACCATTAGGCAAACAGTTTGACCACACTGTATTTTGTTCTTGAGCAGTTTTGCAAGTCTTTAGGCTACTATATGTGGTGTCATAGTATCGTGCACGGCCTGCACTAAAGACTGAACTGGATTTATTCTGTTCATGCAAAATATAAAGTGTCAGTTTATCATGGCTGACCATGTCAGATGCTATAGCACAGAGGGACGGGGTCATGGTACAAAACTTACAAAAGGGTTTCAAGGATTGCTATCCCTCCCCAAATCTTTTTTAAAGCTTGATATGGCAGAACGGAGAGTGGCAAGACTGGTACAAGACAACAGAAGACCAACAGTGCAGTGTCAGATTCCTCGCATCACCTTTCAACATCTCGTGGAGTCACGAGGCGGCCCAACGAAGTACTGATGGGGTGGTCATAATCTGGCCACTCAGTGTATATATAAATATATAACATGTCATTTCTTTAGACCACTATTTTATGTCTATGTGAAGCCATAGATGCTGGCATGTCAGACATTAGCATGTTACTGAAAGAGCAGTACGTTGCAGCAAGTACAGAAGCTCACAAACGTGCTCAAAGGGTAACTCGATCTTTCATGACCAACTTCTTTAATCATTTGTAAAGCTACTATGACCTTATTTTTCAGCTTTAAGATGCCTATCAGCTTTTCTGCATAGGACCAGAAATAAATTGGCATTTTACAATAAGAGCAAACACAGCTGTACCGGGCTGTAATAATATGGTTTCCTGTCTGGATTCACTGATTGGAGGTTGTGTGGATGCAGTGCTGTTTTTAGACATCCTTTGGTCTCTGGGCGTCCTTCGGGTTTGCATTTTGATGGCTGATTATCTGTGCTGGTCACAGAGCTCCTCTGTAGCCCTCGCTTCCCTTCCAGATTTACAGCAGCGGAATGTAAACATGAAGCGAGCTGTATTTTTGGAATTTCCTTGCTCCTGTCAGGTCACTCAGACCTCTACTTCCTTCCAAACCACGGCCTGCACGCTGATTTCCAAAAGACGCAAGACATGATTTCCTCCAATCACAGCTTGACTCTTTCTGTGCAGGGGGACCTTGAAAATTCCTACAGACTGTAGATCCATGACTGGAAAACTACCATGTATCTCTGGAAGCACTGTTACATTTTGTTGTTGTCTGATTGATCTTTGCATGTAAATTATATTTTGATTACCAGATTTTAGCAGTTCAGTGTTTGTCTCCACACTGAGTTTGAAAATATCACATTTTTGTAGAGCATTTGACCAGTGTTAGGAAAAAGCTTCCAGGTGTGGGTAGGCTTCTTACCTGTCCTGTAGACGCCAACAGTCTAAGCTCTTTCCTGAATTATCTGGCTCTGCCATAGATGATTGGTCAACTTTCTGAAACAAGGGACGTCTCCCTTTTCTGCTGCATTCTTCATTCTTCACAATAGTACAACATGTACAATAGGGAGAGTGGCCTCTCACTGTAATTACCATGGCAGGTGCAAATGTTATGTGAATAATAAATACTGCCATTCAAATTAAGAGTATGTGTTGGATGAGCTACTTCATTAAATACATTTTACTTTCTAATGCCCTATTGCTGTTAATTAGAAATATATGATAGCTTAAACTGAATGATGCCCCTTTACGTGATAGGCTCCCAATTTCTGTCTATTAGGAAGTAGTTGAGAGCCCCAAATTATTTTTTTGCAGCTTTGCTTCATCTGCAAAGAAGAATGAAATATCTGAGACCTTCCCAAACACCAGCAGTGACTTCTGTGGTCCACTATGGCATTCTTGCTTCATTCTGTGGGGAAAAATATGCTGTACCTCACTGTAGGCATATACTGAAGTGTATAGCTTTACCTGTGTCGGGATATAGCAGGGTGTGTACATGTACATGTGCATGCACCAAAAAGAAAATAGGGTGACCTCTGAAACTTTAACCTTTTAGGTTTTACATATCTGGAGACCTCTGGTAGGGAAGTAAAGTACCTTGATGTGATAGCCTAATTTAAAATGATAACCAGATACCTCTTCCATGTTCAGCAAACAAATACATTATTGTATGCTTCAGATATCTACATACATTTAAAGTCACACTAAACTCGGGAATTACATTTTAAAAATGCATTTAAGTACCCTAACTATTTACAACAATGTATCTTATTTGTGTATCACTCGGCTGTAGATCCTCAAATCATCTCTGAGTTGGTGCCGACACTGTCCTTCCTTCTGGAGGGCCCTGTGTGTTGTAAAGTAGCCACCGCTCCAAGCTCCCTCCTGTGATGAACTGCAACCTCACAATACGTTTACTAATTTGTATTGAGACTGTAGTTCATCACGAGAGGGAGCGGTAGCTAATTTAGGTCCCACCGGAATCACAGGGAACAAAAGTAGCCACCCTCCAGAAGGAAGGACAGTGTCTGCACAAATTCAGAGATGATTTGAGTATCTACAGCCTAATGGTACACAAATAAGATATATACATTGTTAGGGTACTTTAATGCAATTTTAAAATTAAACTCCTGAGTTTAGTGTCATTTTATGTAAATCTTCCAAACACTTCACTTTCCCTTTTATATATTGGGTTTCTTGCAATTTCTAAAAAAATAAAATTGTTTTCGACAAAAGCAGATCATTATTGTAGCTAATGTTCATTACACTTTAGGACTGTTCTCCACTCTTCTTACCCTCCATTAACAATCACATGGGTTTTGCTGGTATGGCAGAGCAATAGCGCAGATTAAACTTCCCCCTTTTTTACACCAGTTCCAAAAATTGTCACAAAACATATACCAAAGTGCAGCATCCTCTTCTGAAAGCAATGTGATTCTATATCTAGATGTCCAGGTGCACTGAAAGGAAAGTGTTGCCAGATTTCATACACAATAATTTCCTGGCCTGTCTGTGATCAGACATCCAGACAGTGAACTGATAAACAGGGAAGTAGAGCCTCGCTCTGTGAGGTTAATAAACAGTTCTCTGGAAAATTCCCCGAGCATAGTCAGCACTCTACTCATAAGGTCCACATCACAGGACTCTGACTTCAGAGAAGTGTACTCCTAATGGTTATACCACTATGTCCTCAGTACCCTCTGTATATGGCAGATATGAGACAGCTCTACCTATTCTGCTTTGCCTTTACTGGACACTGATCCATGAGATATTTCAAGAACAAGCCTCTGATCACTGTAGAATGATA